GTATCACTTACTAGTGCAATGAAATATGCAAATATATAACACATTAAGCAATTTGTTACCGAAAAAATAACTCTCATAAAGAGATGCAATCGGATTTGAATGATCCTAAACGTAAAAATAAAGCATTGGGTGGAGTTGTTTAGTATGAAAACAAGGCATTAAAGATAAACTGAATATTTATTAAGAGTCTTGCAAGATTATTCCAGTAAAAATCTCTCTTAATGTATTATATTTTATGTGCTACTCTAGTAACAATTACACTACGTATTTGCATATGCTCTTTTGTGTAGTTAAGTACTACGAAAAAGTATAAAAACCGTTTCAATTCGCGTAAGATATTTTTCTTTCCATATTTTAAAAACAAAGTTAAGTAATGCCAGAAGCATCCTACAGGCAAAAGCTCAATCGATTTTTTTTCCTTTTCCTCCTCTTTTTTTTCTTTCCTTGTCGAAACAGATCGATCTATTTTAGCGCTTCGAGAAAATACTATAAAGGAAATAAAAAATAAAATAAAAATGGCGTAAAAAAATACAGTGACGTAACTGACTTCTTTGATCAATTAACGCTGACGTATTTTATCGCGTGACGTAAGTTATCGGCGATCGTTTGTTGCGCCTCTTCAACAACTATCGCCAGCGACAAGTCATCTACAAGTAAGGGCTTTATCGCGCAATGTCTAGGAATCTATACACATACACATACACACTACACAATTCGACACGTCATTCTGACGCAACGAGCGGAAGATCTCGTTAAACGAACACGGTAGATCGGTAGAGAAAATATTAAATAGAGTTTAAATGAAGTCGAAAATGGATTAGGAATGTCAAACTAAATTAAATTAAAGCTAAAACTAACAGAAGCCATACAAACTAGTTCATCCAATGATTTCCCTGGATGCTTTGACATTACGACGCAAACGACGCGTCATGACGTAATGTGTCCACGAAGTAATGATGCAGATGAGCCGAAAGGAAATCACGCCTTTCTACAAAATTGATTGCTATTTAAATTGATGATAAATTTAATTGGAAATAAAAAAAATGGCTGTTTAAAATACGAAGTGACGGTGCCATCATGTCGCCGACATCTTGCTCAGTCACGTGGCATCGCTTCACAAAATTTAAATTTATCGATAGTTTTGTATCGAATTTTTACTTTTTGCCATATTTTTCTTATATAAAAATTTGCCACCGTGTTTTTTTCAAAATCTAAACTATCTTCCTGCTTACTTCCTTCTTGTTTTTTTTAATATCCTGATGCTATAGATAATTTCACGATTCGATTGTGAAACTTGAGAAAATCCTATAAAAAAAAAATGTTTTTCTTTTCTAAAATCCTTTTTTTTCTGAACTGAAAATAACGCTCAATAAAAGATGAAATACTAGAAATTCTGAGATTATAAGAACAATTTTGTGGTTTACTATTTTCCACAAAATTTAAAGTATAAATTGTGCTTTTTTTAAAAGCGCGAGTACCGCCAGCATTTTAACGAGACCCTCGATATAACGATTTTCGAATTATCATTATGAGGGAATGAAAATTAATGTTTCCGTAACGTTAAAATTACGTGTAAACAACGATGGGAGTTTTAAGAACGGGTGCTCTACTATGATAATTAAATACCTTAATATAATGTAAATTACATAGGATGGAAAAATTAGACATTTTGTATTAAGGAACCACAAAAAATATCAAAAATAAATACATCCGAATGGATTTTTTGATGCGCAATTAACGAGTTAAAAAGCATTAAAGATGCACCGACACTCAATATGCTTCTTAGTAAAGATTCTATAACTCAAAAATTAATCAAAATATTCGAAAATTTTCTGAATTTCCTGTTAAATCGAAACATTTTTAACACGCCAACATGATCTACAACTATATTGCCACGCAGTATATAGAAAGCAAAGGGATTTTTTTTCGATCTGCAATACGCAAAACTCAAGCACTTCGTGAAAACTTTGCTTACAAATGCAATATTAAAATTTGTTTCATATGTATATATCAATAAAAATATGCAAGAGAAACGATTTTTATTATATTCGATTTTGAAGTGAACTTTCTAGTAAATTTATTAAAAATTTCTATCGATTTCGATTAAGAGTTATTCATAAAATTCTAAGAATAATCTTTCTGATTTGATTTTTCCTGGTATTGAATTTACGCGTGTGCGTACAGATGCAGTGTTACGTTTAAAGTTACGCACGCTTTTAGAAAGTGTATAGAATAAAGTTGTGTATAAGCAAATGATCTGTTAGAAACTTAAAAATAAAATGTAGATAACCTTCATTATTGGCCACTCTTTCACTTGAGAGATTCAGTATCGTTTTAAAACCGATCTTTAACAATGAAAGTTCCTTCATAAGAAATTCACTATCGTTTAGAAACGGATGCCAAGTTCCTTAATGACAGGTTCAATGAACTTGGTTTTAGATGGGCACGTCCGTTAATAGGATTTTATTTATTAAGGATGCCTTTTTTTTTAAGTACAGTAACTCTCTCTCCAGTGTAACAAACTACTCTATGTTAACGATCTTACGAATAGCCACATAACGAAAAGTCTCTTAGGTGTTACGAAAGATAAATAGAAAAATAATCAGAATTTATACGAAATTAATTACCAAGCATCTTAAATAAGCAAGGAAACAAAAATGCCCCACTCCTTAAGCAAGATTGGGAGTTTTTTTTTTGTTTGGAGGGGATAAATTCTTGAACGAAATTGAACTAGAACAGAATTTACTGATTAAAATAAACCTCTTTTGAAAACTGTCACAAACAATGTCTAGCTAATTACCAATCGTTGACGACTTTGCTAATTTACACTACACTGCTTCCTATCCCCAAAGATTAATGAACTGTCCATTTTAATATCTTTTGCACCGGTAACTTTCCTANTTAACTGACTTTCGGGCCACCCTTACAGAAATGTATTATATTATTTAAAATTAAAAACAAATAATAATAATAAACGACTTTTTCATATTTTCAGATTTCCGTATCATATATATTCAACTTAAATGCAAAACTGCCGCCTTATCGCGCGCGCAACAAAATCGTTAAAAGTTTCCCCTCTCTCTCTTCTCTAGGAATGTATCAAATTATAAGAATTCCAAAAATATTTCACCTCTACATATTATAAAACTATTTTCCGAGCGTGGTAACAACATAAAGCTATTTTCCACATCTGTGACCGGAGAGATCTTTTACAAATTTATCACTCGGCGCGTGCATTTTTCAGCTCCTTTGTTAGTTGACAAATTTCGACCGCAATCGATGTCGTATGCAAATCTTCGAGAAATTCCACGTTCTACACTCGAACGAAACGGGATCGATGTAAAGTTTTTGGAGAAAAGGGGGAGAGAAATGATAAGGGATGCTGTTTTTGGTATCAGTTAATTTACAGGAACTTATGTATAATTTAAACTTTCGCGTAGAACATGTATAATAAATGAAACCATTCAGCCACTAATGGGCACAGATTCAAACACAGACTAAAATTGCTCCTATTAAATATTGAAGAGATACGAAATCAAACTGATAAGACTGATTGATTGGTCAACTCCAGGCACCAAGCACATTAAAATCGCACGACAGGACACAATTCTGTCCATTATAAGCGCGTGTGATTTACATTGTTTAGATTATACCCTAGATATGGTTTTGGTTTGACCCGCTGTGGGGTCCAGCATCTAAATATAACATGGAGCCACGACTTGCTAATTTGAAGGCTTTTAAATATAAAATTGAATAGAACAAAATGGCTTCCTAAAGAATGATTTTGTTCTAAGATCCTAAATATTATAGGATCTTGCAATTGGAAAGCTGTTCTGTAAACTTTTCAATCATTGTGGAGGAATATTTTGTCTTCTAATTTAGAATTATAACTTGTTTTCCCTAGAAGAGTATTATTATCGAGGGAAGACTTGATATAAATTTGTTACTTTATGTATTTATTAAATATGAATATGTTTTTTAATTTTGTAAAAAAAAAGAAGCGAGAGGACAACTGAATTTAAAGCAATAGTTACAGATTCGAGTCAATTTAATAATTATTCATACGAGAATTAAACCAAGTCCAATATTAAACTAGTTTCTGAAAATCTAATTACATACAGCTTGGGGGAGTTCAGTCGCGTGGAATGCTAAAGTTTCAATAATCTCCGCTGACTAATCTTTAATTTTCTGTTAAAATTCGCTTTGACGAACAAAATTACAAAACAGCCCGAAGATATGTAAAAAAAGATTTTTTTTTGTAAGTTTGTAATGCAACTAAATTCGTATATTTTTAATTTTTGATTTATTATTGAGAGGTGGCAACTCTAGATGGCGCGATAAGTCAATTTTCTTTTTAAAATGTACTTTTAATACTTTATAATAAATACATTACATAAAAAACCTAATAAAAACAAAGCTTTATGATTTTTATTCGTCGAATTTTAAATGCATAAATACAAATAATTTAAGATTTCGTAATTACGTATTTTAAATTCGACGAATCAAAATTATTCATTTCAAATTTTGAACTGGGGTTTTTTATAAAGAGAGATACGACAGAAACGGATCTTTTTTTTACCTCCTTCTTCTTCTCTTTTTCTAATACATAAATTAAGATGATGTAATAATCTTAATGGATTCTGGCAGTAAAAATCGAGAAAGACTCGATTCTATTTTGTTTATAGTACAGACAAATGGAGTCTTCTCTCATAATTTATCAACAGCTTTCGACGACTTTATAACATAAGTGGGATGTACGAATTGTAGTTTGTGCATTGCAGAAAAGATTTACAACCCCTAATTCCCTGCGTAGGTTCTTGAGTGTCGTGTAAAAGGTGATCAATCAACGTTACTCCTACTTGTTCATTAAGTCCGAACGGGCGTAACCTATCATTTAACGATGACGCGTTACGTGTCTAGACCGATATGCCTTTAAAGAGGAGTAGAAAAAAAATAATTCTAAAAAGATAATACAAAAGGCAGCCATTAAGTTGACTTACTGTTTAACTGGTATTTTTCCTGATCTGTCGGTCATCATGCACAGCTTGACATAGGCCTTTTCCAAAAACATGGCGGCTGAGCCATTCAATGCTAATAAATTGTATGCAATCTTCAGTAATTCGTCCCTCCATTCCTGTTACGAAAGAATAAAATATAGTAAATTAATTCCTTCTTGAATTAATCAATAGGAATAATACATTAATAATTCCTCCTACTTCATGACATCTCGAACCGTGAAGACGCGATTAAATTGTAAGCCTCTTTCAGTGACGTCACCAACAATTTAAAACAGCAAGCAGAGACTTGCCGATATGACGTCAACTGCGTGAGAAATTTGACCAAACCGAGAAGGAGTAGCTTTAAAATTTATTGTTTTCGCAAAATTTTATTGGCATTAAATCAAAATCCAACCCACATCAAGAATTAATTTATGAACC